AAAACCATCAGCCAACGAGGCACCAGGATCGTAGGGAGGAGGCTGTTCCTCAGTGAGGACTCGAACTCGAAGTTCATAAACCCCTAAAGGGTGTGCTTTGGGATGAGGATGAAGATTGGGGAATTATGTCAAGGGTGGCGGGTACACGGGAATTTGGGGTGTGAGGCGGGCAGGCCTTGCAATCTCATTGAAGATGGGTGGTCTTTTAGTATCGCTTGCGGCTTGAATCGCACATCAAACGAACGCAAGCCAAATCACGAAGCTTGCGTGCGAGAAGCGTCCCACGACAACGGCACAACCGTTCAAATTGACGGCCAAGGGTCTTGCCCTGGGCGATATCCGACGGTTGGAGAAGGAACTTCCCTGGGCACGCCGGAATTACCTGCATACAAGCTTGTAAGCCTCAGGCTTCAGGTTGTCTCGGAAGCTCTAGACTTGGTAGCTTTTCTACACTAGATGGTCCTCTTCTTGAGTCACTGGCTCCATGGCATGGGGTAGGATCGTTATGAATGTTCAGGGTGCTTGGAGCACCTTAGGTGTAGAGTATCTATGGGTTATGGGTTGCGCATCGGGGGAAGTAAGGGAGGAAGCTTCGGAGCCATGAATGCAGCCCTGAAACCCCACAACCCGGAGACAAACATCCTAAACCGGTAAACCCGAAACCCAACATCCCAGACCCCCACGTCCCACCCAAATCATGACCCAAGGCCCAACTTCAGAATCCTTACAAGGTTCGTACATACACCCAATGCCACAAGCCCATTCCGCCTAAACCCCAAGTGTTTCATCCCTTTCAAAAGCAGCCTGCCGGATCGCCTGGCACAGGGCCAGAGCGCGTCCTGCCAGGAGTACGGCTTCAGCGGTTTGACGCACAGGGTTGAGGTTTAGGGCCTTTTAGACACTTCATGACCATAGAGTTCAGGCCAGACCTTCCAATCTAATGCACTGGCCAAAATCTTGGCTCGCTGGTTCATGGTGCTGGGCTTGGCACCTGGCCTTCCCCAGCATAAGAAGCTTCGCCCAAATCCCTCCAACTTTTCCCGAAACCCTACCCTCTTGTTGAAACTCGAACCCCGGTCCTTCAGGCTCCCTCTCGTCCAAAGGCCAAAGGCTCATTGGATGCACTTCGGAGGCCTTCCGGAAGGGCCATGAGAAGGGAGGGTGCACAGTTTGGGAGGGCTGTGAATCACCAGCAGAGAGCACAAATGGCGCGAGGGGACGCTGCGCACGAAGCAGGAGCTGCTGAACTCTCTTGGGCCAACGGAATTGAGTGGAAAATGCGTCTGCCCGATTGCCCGCGATTGCGGCTGCGGGAACAAGGAGCAAGACAGGGGAGATCCTATAGCCTGGAGGTTGAAGACTGCCCCGTAGACCACGGCGAGCAATGCGCCATCCTGGTGGGGCCAGCCGCGATGTAGGGTTTGAGGGGTTATGGGCGTAGAGGCGCAGGGCTATAAAGTGTAGGCATGTAGGGGGGATTTAGGGATGTACGGATGCTAGGTTCGGAGTTTTTTCGGGTTCAGGAATTGGGGATGCTGAGTTAACATTTAGTTGGGAGATGTGTTCAGGGTTTGTGGAGTGGGTTGTGGGATGGGGTAAGTGTTGGGGCGGCTGAATAACTCAAGAGTCGCAAGGAACTGCGGAGGCTGAGCTTGTGGAGGGGATACTCGCAGGATGTAGGCTTTATTCGTCTGCCGGGCCCTGGTGGGGGTGGGGGGGGGGGGGGGGGGGGGGGGCGGGCGAGTCCCGACAACTATCAAAGGACAAAAGCTCCACAAGAAAAGCCACAAACCTCCGAACAGGAAAACTGCCCGCCTGACGAGAACAGAAAGATACGCACTCAAGAACAGCTCAACGTCGTTTGTTTAGTTTTTCTGGCGGGACGGTTGGGGCCGGTGCCAGGGAATGGGCAGGAACTCAGCAGAGAGCTTTGGCAGCGGATACCTCTAAACTGCAAACCTTCGTTGGTGCAGAGTGCATCATCCAGGCTGGCTTGAGGATTTATAGAGCCTTTGCAAGAGTAACATCAGTGGAAGCTACCGGAGCTCCGAGGACCAGGAGGATCTCTCACACCCTTACACAATGGGAACCAGACGGCTTCAAGCACTCCCTCAAGAACTCGTGCACGCACGGGAAAATCGTAAGGGGAAGTATGCTGGGCAGCACCCGTGCATGACATGCACACACACACAAACCCCGCAAGCTTTATAGGGTTTAGTGAGACTCCAGGATTCAAGAGCTTCAGCAAAGGTGTTAAGAATGTTGCAACCATGTAAATCCCAAAGCCCCGATCTTGCCCTCAAGCTTGTCAGCCTCATCGGCCTTTCAAAACTTACAGTCCTGGTCATCATCCAGCTGGCTGACCCGGTGCCTTCCGTCATGGTAGAAAACCCTCACCGTGGAAAACCCTCGCCGTGGACACTCATAGAGATTCAGGCCTAGGTGCTTGAGGCTCCCATTTCAACCTGCCTGAAGCACCATATACCCCTGAACCAGCGGAGACCTACAAAACCGCAAAGACCTCAGTATATGGACGCATCACTTTGCACATTTGTCTAGGACCCTTTCAGGGTTCACTTATTTCTTAGTGGGATAACGTAGACATACCTCCAGTGCATTTCGCTATAAACTCCAACATACATAACGGCCTTAAAACGCCTATCATGCAACCTGTCGAAGGACCTCAAAGCCAGGGCAGGCGGTAAGGCAGAACAAAGAGAAAGGCCTGAGAAGAACCCTTACGCAAGCCTTACGACCTCTGCACGAAGGCAAAACTCCAGGAGCCCTCATCTGTCCCAGCCACTCCTCCAAATGCATGCCGGAAATAGTCCATGTGTCACTTCTTCTTACTTGGCGAGCGAGCATCTTTAGTTCTCATTGACTCGCATGAAACCATTCGAACTATTTCGCTTTATTGCCGTCCGTGTTCGTGTTTCCCTTTTCGTTCATGCTGGATGCTTGTGAATATGACATCCAAGTGGAGGCTGTCATCGACTGACCGCATGGATCTGGGCTGCCGAGGTACATGGCGCGGATGGTGCGGCAGCGGTCCCCATAGACCTCGATCTCCCGGGCGGACCACTCAATGTCGTCCTCCTCTGCTCACGGTTTTGGGTGTTTGTGGAGTTTGGGGTTTGTTGTTTGCTTGGTCACTGCTTTTGGGATTGAGGGCTCGAAGGTTCTCACCCTTCACTGATGGGATGTTGACCTTTTTCCCTGGCATTTAAAAAGCTCTCTGGGCTTCGCATGGGTTGAGGGCCTTGTGGGGCCGGCAAAGAGTGGGGGTGATTCGAGGGCTTATGGCCGACTAAGCTTGTAGATGTCAATCGCAGGGAGCGGGGTTGAGACTTATAGGACATATGGTTCAGGGCTCAGCGTTTAGAATAATCCTTGAGAACATTCTCGGGGTGGCTTGAATCCAGAACTACAGCTCTGAAGGTCTTATCCTCTTCATTGCTGTCAAGCAGAAAGACAATCTCGTGACTACAGCTGAAAACACTCAAACCTCAAACCTTGAAGTTTCAAACGGCCTTCGACCCAAAAGCCAAGCGCTGAAAGCACCTGAACGCCCTTCAAAGATGCCCTGTATCCTAGTGACCCTACAGCAGAGGCCCTAGTGCCCTTCTCCCCTTCAATGAAACTCTCCTCTCCCCATGGCCTCAGCGTTCTCTTGCGAGCTCCTTTTGGACATTGCCTCCAGTACAGCCTTGGCTGGCCAGCATCACCCTCCCCGCTTGGAGTTGAGGGTTCTAGGCTAGTTTCAGGCACGCGGCCCCGAAAACCTGCTGTGAAAAGCTTCCAGCGCCCCAACCGAAAACCCTCCAAGTCCGAGAAGCATTGGCCACGACCTTGAACTGAGAGAGCTGGTGGTTCGCCCACCTTCGATCCACGACAAGTCTAGACGCCAACACCCAAGCCACAAAAATCGCGCCCGCATCAAACCCCACACACGGAACCTGAAACCCGTACTGATCCACACCCTGAAACTCAAACCCTGCGTCTAGGATACTGTTTGCTTTTTGGGCTTTTAGGGTTGTGGTTGGGGTGCTTTGGGGGTGCGTAGGGATTCGAGGCTTTAGGGTCTAGGGGCTTTCCTGGGTTGGTCCTCAAACCTTCTGAACATATTCCTACGTGGTATCCTCTTGAACACACCAATAAGTGAAATCGCTGTACCAGGGCGGTACCCTAAAGGTTTCAGGGTTTCGAGGTGGCTCTCTGCCTCGTCAGCAGCTGGTCGCCCGAGAGGCCCTGTAGCTTCCAGGCTGTGTCCTGCCAGCTGCATGTTGTTTCTTTTTCTATAGGGGGGTTTTTGAAGGGCTTTGACGTTTGAAGGGCTTAAAGGGTGCAGGGCTCAACGGGTTTAGGGCTTAAGGGTGCAGCGCCTTCAATTAATCCAAGCGATTCTAGGGCACAAAGGTGCAGTGCTCCGAGCCCTATGACCTCATCTCTGAGTTTTTTCACAGCGCAGCAACGGAAGTGCCTGGATTTGGATGTGACGTGCGGCAGAAAAGCGCAGCTTAGCCCACAAGGACAGGGCCCAAGGACTTGTTCGTGTTTCTTGGATCTATCAAGGCTTGCTTCCTCTCCCTACGGTCACCATGGTTGAACTGAGAACCCTGCACGAACGCTTCCAGTAGAACCAGAAAGTACATCCACATCTGTACCGCGCTTGTCTGCCGCACTGCGCGTAGTTCTCCGCAACCTGGTGGTGACTGCCCCTTGCTTTGCAGCACCACCTTGACACAGCCTAGATAGTGCCCAAAACGAGAGAACACCAATGTTGTGCAAGTTGCGGCTCGCACGTATGTGAAATTGAGCTGCTCCTTGGCTTAGAGTCTTACTTGCTGTTAAGATGCACAAGACTCTGCATGATGCTTACAGGGCTCCAAGCAGGCCAGGAGACTACATGTCACTGGCGGACATCATCTTGATTCAGCAGCCGTTGGGGCAGGAAAGAGTTTCCATTTCAGTGTCACGTCATGAGTAGCCCTCAGGTGTAGTTAACACGGCAGTCGCCCAAAGCCTGATCCCCAAGCCCTCAAAACCAGAGTTCCCAGGTGCGCGGATCTGCCCTCCTCATCTTGAAGCAGCATGGAGGCCCAGTCCCGGGTAAGGAAGGTGAGTCGGCTTCTCGTCTTGTGCAAGAAGCCTGGCGGGGGATCTCTGGGTGGAGGATTCATACTGCTTATTAAGGTTTCTTAGTGCCGAAAGGGTCGACAGGGCTTAGAATGCAAGAGGGGAGCCTGAATATGCACCTCCCAACCTCAATGCCTGTGCGAGCTGCAAGCTTCAGGGCAGGCAGACCCTCTTCTTCCGGAAAGGTAAACGGTAAACTTGAACCCAAACTCCTAAGACCCTGAGCTTAGAGAACCTCGGCTTCACGAACCTTTCACCAGTCTCCCAAACAACCCCTGGGTTGCTTAGTGGGGTTTATCATAGAGTTCGAAGCTACGCGTAGCTGTAGCTGTTACGTATGGCCCCGTTTAGAACTGCCTGTAAGCCTCCCCAATTATCCTGTGCCCTGTGTGGAAAATGACGCCTTCAAGCACATAACTGGTTCTTGAACCCAGAACCTCCTGTGGCTCTTTATCTGAAAGATTACGCTGGGGGGTTTAGGGTAGGCCTCTCCCCCCCAATCCCTTCTGCCTGTCTTCATGATCTCAGAGAGGCTCATGTCCAGCACCTGGCACAATCAAGCCACATGTGCGACTCTCTGTCTGGCTGGAGCTTCCCTACAGTATGGTTTAGGTGCACCCTTTCACCTTAACGGCCCGTCTCAATGTGTCGACTTCAGAGGTTCACACAGCAGGATGTGGCAGGGTTGCAGGGTTCACAAATGTAACTCCTTAGAAAAAGTTGCTCCGACAACCGCCGATGGATGGGAGGCGAAATGCTGAGGATGTAGGTTACTGTACGCTACTGGTCGGGAACAGGTCTTTATCGTTCAGTCTGTTCAGTCTGTGGTCAAAGCAGGGTAACCTTAATGCCAAACCCTATGAGTGCATAGTATCCTCTACACATGAACTTGCCATGCGCCACCAGAGCCAGCTACAGACGGCAAATGTCCCCAAAACCCCCTTAATGTGAAACCCTGCATCCTAAATCTTAAAGATTCTTAAAGTGCAGTCACTGGGCGAGACGCCTGCGAGTTGGAACGGGCTGGCAAAATTTCAAAATTTGACCCCAAGTCCCAACGTGCTAAGAGCCTAAACCGCCGACCGACCAAGAGCTCTCAAGCCCAGACAAGCCGTTGCTGTTATACCTGCCGCAAGAAGCTTCGAAGTTCTCCTACATGAAATCCTTCATGCTGAGGCGTCGCGCCTGAGACAGGAGGGCCTTGACCATCTCCGGACGAACTTCCTGAGACCGCAATTAGAGCACTATCAGGCTTCCCTCTTTGCCTATATAAAGGTTGGGGTCTAGTTCGGGCTACTGGAGATCAGGTGATGGGTTTGGATTCAGCCCATATCATGTTCGCCGAACCACCCTGAAACCCAAAACCAGCAGGCCCGCAGTGTGAGAAACACTTCGGGCATGGTGAAACCGGGGCCTTGGTTGCGGAACTTTGGTTACTGAATCAAGGGTTAGTTTGCGGAAGCAGGGCTTTTTCAGGAAAACCCTGGGCCCTAACATCTAACTTTAACCTCAAACCCTGAACATGATTGTCAAAAGTTCCAGCAAGCCGTCATGCGGAGATAACCTGGGCGCACGGATCGTTCTGGACAATCCTACTTGTCCAGTTTCTTAGGGGAACCAACTAAAGGTTGAATAATCTTCGAGTAGAGAGGGATTACAAGGCTACACGAAAAAGGCTGAAGTGTGACTCAGAAGTTGACAAGGATCCAGAAGACGCTGGTGAAGCGCCGCACGTTCCTTCCTGCGGCGCAGTTTTGTGGGTGGCTTTCGGAGCAATTGATGTGTGTGTGTGTGTGAGGGAGGGAGTGAGTGTGTGCGAGGGAGTCTAGAGTCTAGAGAGTGAGAGAGTGAGAGAGAGTATGACTGAGTGGGTGAGTGAGTGTGTGGGTACGAGTTTCTCTCTCTTTTCTTGTTTGGGGAGAGGGAGGGGACGGGTGATCGGGTTGACGGGGTGTAAGGCTAAGAGGCCTCCTGTAAGGTTGCAGCTCTTCCTTGGTGACAAACCGTTCCGGGTGGCTTGGGCTTCTTGCTTCTTATGTGTTGCTTTTTGCGCTGGATTGGGCGGGTGGGGGAGAGGGTGTTGGGGGATGTAGATATGATAGGGAAAATCATGGCCTTCGAGTGTTGGGGCTGGGATCTGCGAGTGCAGCTTGGCTCGGCTCTTAGGGTCTGAGCTGGGGGTTCAGGTCTTGTGGAGGTAGGAGCAAACTACTCCTGCCGAGCGCCACGGAACATCTATAGATATTTGCCTTGAGACTCGGAAGAGCTGCAATTTCCCAGCTAGCATCCACATGGACAGCTCAACCCGAAGCTTTTGTTCGCAGCTTCAACTCACGATGGTGCCAGCTGAGATTGGGGGAATGAACTACCTTTCTCCACTTCCCCCATATCCGCCCCCGGTTGGAAAACCCGATGTTTGTTTTATAGGCACTGCCCACTGGAGCTTCCTCTTGGCGTCCAGCTGCTTCGTGAGCCGGTTGCAGGAGTGGTCGCTCACCTGTGACAGACATCCCGGTGTGTATCTGCATACATGAACCTGGACTACCCTGGGTGGATTATAAGAAACGCGCGCCAATCCTTACTAATCCGTAATCCGCCTAATCCACGTAGCCGGGTCCATGTGACCTAAGCCGTAATCCGCTGTCGGAATCCGTTTCTCGTCCGCTATCTGTTTCTCTCTCCGTGCAAGGTCTGATGGTCGCAATGGGTGTAGGCAGTCTACCTCCTTGCTGGGAAAGCCCCGAAAATCGCTGCCAACGAGGGCGTAGCCGCTGAGCTTGCTTCTTTGTTGGGAAAGCCCCACACATACTCATGGGGGTCAGGGGTTCTCAGGGATTGTTGGGAAAGCTCCCCCAAAATCGCTACTGGTGAGGCCTGGGGCCTCTGGCAGCCGACTAAGCTACTCAGTTTTCAGAAAACTTAGCCAGGGAGCTCGATGCAAAAAATGTCCCGTTCCCGAGCCAACTCCGCAAATCGCCAAACCCAACAGCTCCAACCCGAAAATGGAAAGCACTATGTCCCTGAACCCTCAGCCCGCCTAACCCTAACGCCTATAAACCCCAAACCCATCCTAGGTTGGCCCTTACTTACAATCCTAAACAGGAGTCCTCTTTAACCCCGGTAAGGCAAACATATATCATATAGTCCAAGAGCATCTAGATCCTGAACCCAACAGGCCCTAATCATCCCGAAGCCCAAAGCCCTACGGAATACCCTAAACCCTAAACCCTAAGTTCAAAACCTCCCAGGCCTGGATGTCAAGAACTAGGTCCTTGCGACATCTTAAGGATGCTTTGGCGAGTTCGGGCTTGGGGCCTTGTGCTGGGTCTTTGGGGACTTCGGGCTGTAGGTCGGCCAGGGGGCTCTGGGTGGGCTTTGCTGATGAGGCGGGGTCTTGAGAATACCCATGTTCCTGTAGATCATGATAGGCCTGATCTCTTTCAAGCATCTATTGCCAGCTCCTGCACCAAAAAAACCATTAAATCAAGTTCACTTCCCCTTACTTTACAGCACATCATGTTCTGTTCCGCATTGCGCGAGGTTCCCCAGATTGCCAAGATGTTTACAGTTTACAGTTCGCGGCGTAGGTCTTGAAGACGTGAAATTCTGAACTGAAAGATCGCTGTCAGGAGTCCTCCTTCTTGTTCTGGAGGTCCATGGCCGTGCGGGTGTACATGGCCCTTTCCTGGAGGTAGGTGTGGTACGTGATCCTTAGCGGCTTGCACGGCTGTGGACGTAAACCTGTTAGGCTCATGGCAGTGATCTGATCGACAGAGACACTACTGGTATAGGAGCCATGCAGGTACGTCTAGAACTTTGAAGATTAAAGACAAACCCCTGCACTCCGCTGGTCTCTGTCTGGGTCAATCTGGGGGAGGGGGTGCTTGCAAGAGCCATGGAGCAGCTTGCTTTCACAGCGGTTCTCCACAGTGAAGATCATCCAGTGGCGAAATGGAGCGATCAGATCACCTCACAATCACAACTCCAAGAGATACTGCTTCCCCACATGGTTCCCCCAGTTTCCCCCCAAGCCAGGCCCTCCTCCCCAAGCTGCTTCGGCCTTGCTTGTAAGCTTTGCAATTTGCAGACAAAGGCGCCAATCAGGGTCTGCTCCAGGAGCATGCCTTTCTTCCTTCGCCGGCGCATCAGGATGCCATGAACCTGATGAGAGGCTTTGGGGCTGCTCCGAGCTGATTTGTAGGGCCTTTAGAGGGCTTAGGATTTTAGGGTTCGAGATTTCAGGGTTGTAGGGTTCTGCCTGCTTCTACTGCTTGCCCAAGCTCTGGGCCAATTCTCCGTTCTTCCATGCGACCTAAACCCGGCCTGCTTCCACACGCCCCAAAGCCAGATGAGCGACGATTTCCTGCACAAAGTCTGGGATTCTGGGATTCTGGGTGACGGATGGTAGGGTGCTGATGCTAGGGAGTCCAAAATAGGGGAGGCGAAGAAATCCACACAGGGCCTCTTTATCAGAGGATCTGCTCACCCTAACTTTGAGCAACCGCTGGAGCAACCGCAGGAACTTCGGGCAGTCCCTGAGCGGCCAGCTGAGAGCTTCTTTGCGAAGTTGTCAGCGGCTTCATCTAAGGATTGCTTCTCCTCAGCTTCTTTCAACCAGGGAGAGCGGGACTCATTTAGGAAGGCGAAAGAGGGATAAGGCAGCATGGGCCCACAAGTATCTCTGATCCGCGATTCTATAGGGGCAAAGCTGGGAAGACCTACGGTTTAAGGGCGTTTCAGGCGTATATCGGCTTTTCGAAGCCAAAAAGTCCAAACCTCAGAACCCCAACGCCTAAAGCCTTTAATGAAAACCTTCAACCCTTATGTTGAAAATCCGTCATCCCAACTAATGTTGCACCCGGTTTAGTATCGGCCCCCGCTTTAAAGACAAACTGGCCGAATTATTCAGGACATGCTGACTGTTTGGGAGTCCCTCTTTAAAGACAAATCGTCCGGGCGCCGTAAGAAAATTCCACGTGGCGCGCCTTTAAAAAAGATAACCGGGCATCGCTGCCCCTTTTGAACCTATCTAAACTCCTCCCCATTAAAATCATATGAGCCCGCCCCCGGGCCGTGTAATCAGGATCCCATCCACCCCGCGACTGTTCAGGGGGGAGGGGGGGGGGCCCCCGACACTAAACCGGGTGCAACATTAATTCCTACGCAACCCCTCCCACCCTAAACCCTAAACATCCAAACCCTCAACCCCTAAACACCCCAAGAGAACAAGAGGAAGGCACCGAAGCCAAGCCACTTTTTGCTCAACTTCGGGTTCTTCCTGCATACGCTAGGGCTTTGCTTCTGAGTTTGGCGTCTTGGGGTGGAGGATGTTTGTTCTGCCGAGATGTATACTAAGGTTTAGAAGTTTAAGGTGCTTAGGGCGGAATGACGGCAGCTTGTAAGAGGTGAGGACTCATAGAGGCCAGAACCTTCCGCCGCCGTATACTCAGAATCCCAAACCCCTCAGGCCCCTCAATCATTTCATTGAAGCCCTGAATCCTTGAGGATCCTGGACCCAAACCCATTCCCCCCCAACACCACACACACAACACAAGGCCTCATTCACCGAGGCCCTCTTCTTGCGCAAGACCGAGTTGGATATGCGCCGTTTGGCGCCCAGCTCCATCAAAGATGCCTGGACCTGCTCAGAAGTCTTAAACTTGGCCTCATAAGGGCCCTAAGCTTAGGTGTGTGGGGGTCTTTGGGGTTTTTGCGGTAGGGGATTTTGGGGAGTTCGGGAACCGTTGGGGCTCGTGGAAGCATGGCATGTCCTGGTTCAGGGTTTCATGGCTTCAGGGCTCTGGTTTTCGGTGGCGAGAGCAGACCGGCCCGGAAGATTGCGCCCTAAACCCTAGCCCCGAAACACTGAAGCTCTAGAGTGTAGTTCCGCAGCCATCCTCACTCGCATGTTCTATATCACTGACGGAATTTGGACCCCAAGACATGGGGTTGATCCCGTTGGCTGCACAACCTCCCGTTGCGAGATGCAAATCCGCCAACTCTCCAACTGTTTGGTGATTTGGGCTTGCTTGCTGTTCATCTGATCCTTACATCACTTCCGGGTTCAGCGTTTGCGCTGGTTTAGAACATTAGGCTTTGTGTCGGGAAGCCGCACATCGATTCTCTGAAGCTCGAACAGGCCTGCACGCGGATGTTCTCGAAGCGCTGCGCTCTTCGCACCACCTCTGCCTGCAGGCGACTTAGGCTTCAGGTTTGGGAGTACTTGTGTGAGATAGGGTGTAGGGTATGAGGCTTCGGATATTGGATCTAGGGTTTCGGGTACGGGGCTGGCAGCATCGACTAAAGTGACAAAAGCACTAACAGAATCCTATTGTTCTCAGTACTGTGTTCTTCCCAACAGATAACCTACCAACAAAAAGGCAGAAGGGTACTTCCTACCACTCAGAACACTAAACCATCACATTCCCCCCCCAAGGTCCGGGCCATGTAGACTAGATTCTTTCGCAGCTGAAGAAGCCGCGACTCCAGCCAGTGTGAGCCCACCTGGGATGGAGAGGCGATTGGAGGCTAAAGGCACAAGCTACGATTGAGGGCAGGCTCTAGCAGGCGTTGGGACTAGTGACCTTTGGGGTTCAGATGCTGGCTCAAGTCTTCATTTCTCCAACAAGCAAAGAGTAAGTAGCCAAGAAGATAGGGACACCCAAAGTTTGAAGTTCAGTGATATGAACCGACCCTCGTTCGCGAAGTATTGCTCGTTAAAGCCTTGTCGCCACGTGCCACCCATGAGAAACTCCCCATGGGTCATTTAGGGCTTTGAAAGCCCTGATAGGGCTTTGGGGCCACTTGTATACCCTGCCGTGCTAACGCCTGAAATCCTAAAGCCTGAAACCCGTGGCCTCGCGAAAACTGTAAACGGAAGTTGGGGTTCCAGGCAGCTTCAGGCCGTGGAGCTTTGAGTTTTCGGGCTTTTTGGGGGGATTCAGAGCTTCCGCCCTAAACCCTTGGAACCCTATACAGCCTCTACCCACAACCCCCCAAATCCTATAACCCTGAAAAGCCTGAAAGCCGAGGCGCGTAGTAGGGCAACTGCGTGTCTCGCCCAGGCGACCGCGGGCATGCTTCCTCTAGCAGCTCCTGTAGACAAGAGCTTCTTGCATTTGGGCGCCCCCAAACCCTGAACCCTTATCCCTAATCCCGCCCTCAAAGCCCTAAACCCTAAACCCTCTAGGCCTTCCCATCAGGGGAGTTGTTGAATTCAGGGTTTCTTTGGGGGAAGTTTGAAGTTCAGGCTTGAGGATCCTGAGGAGTGCGCTCCTAGGATATTCAGCCATTCAGCGCGCCTTACCTTAAGTCAGAAAACCTTGAGCCCAACATCACTCAACCGAAGCCCCTGAAACCCCTAAACCTCCGAAGCCCAAAGCCCAAAACCTCTGAAGCCCTAAAAGCCCTAAGCTCCTAAACCGAGCGGATGGCCCGAGAGGAAGCTGTGGCTTCGGGACTTACATGTGCTTTTGGGGCTTCGTGTCGGCTGGAGGCTTGGGGCGAATATGTTCCAGGGCAAGAACTTAAAGTTTAGGGCTTAGGGGAGGCCAGTTGACAGAGGTTCAGGTGGTGCGGGCGGAGGCGATGAGGGGTTAGTGTCCTCCTGCTCGACATAGACGGATGTCTCCAGCCTATGCGCGCCCAAGCAGGACGGGGAGAGAGTGGCGGGACATACGCAGGGCTGAGGCAAGGGATGTCGGTCAACCGGCAACAGTAGCAAGTAGCACGTGTGACCCTAAATCCTGAACTCCTCTGAGTGAAGCCTTGGCACAGAGCTCTGGTATTTTGGGCTTAGAGCTCATCACGTCTAGATCTAGATCGCAGAACCAACAAACATCAGACAGGAGGCAGCCGCACAACAGAGGACAGGAGTTGCTGTTGCTTGGTGCAGAGAGACTCCTGGGGCAGATCTTTCAGAATATCTCCTACGCCTTACGTTCCGCGGTGTCCATGGGGATTCCTGTGTTCCCTACCGCAGTAGAAACTCTCTGTACCGCCCATGTCAAGGTTATTGAATGAGTTTTGAAACTGAATGGAGAGAACTGAGAAATCTCACAGCACGTGCGGGCATTGGCAGCATTGGGTTTTTCGGACTGACCTACCTGATCTACCAGGTCACGGGCACGAAAGCCCTGAAAGCCCTGAGGGCTCCGTAAGCACCCGCCTCCTTTAGGGGAGAAGAGACCATCACAAGCCCCTAAAACGCTTCCCCCCCCCCCCTCCAAAATCCTCCCTAAAGATCTCGACCCCTTCAACTTCTGAAGTTCTTGAAGCCTTGGCGTGCTCGGATACTCCAGCAAGCCCACAAGACCCTGTAGCAATTCTCAAGCCTAAGCCCTAAGCCCCCAACAGCCCCTACATATCCAACTCCGACCCTGAACTCCCTGTAGAGAAACCTTGGATGGGTTTTTTGTAGTACGTTGGGTCGCACTGAAGCAGAAATCACACCACTGAAAACTCCCGAGCTTATTTTAGGCTGTAGGGCCTGTTGCGCTACTTCTTTGAGGTTCAGGTTCAAGTGTCCACAATTAGCCTAATTACAATGACAAGTTCTCGGGCCCTAGGAATGAAAGAAGGCGCCCTTTCATACCTGACCTCACCGCGAACCTTTACACCTCCGTGCCACCAAGCAAAGCCTTGTTGTTGAAAACTGTGGCACAAATACCCCTCCACCCTGCAGCCACACTCCACAACCCTCAACCCCGAACCCGACACTCTATAAGCCGGATAAATGGCGAGTCCTCCCGAAATAGCTTCCCGAAGCCCCTCCTCTGCCAACCCAGAGATGAACCGCACTGCCGCAGACGTTGCAACCGGATTCGGACGGTTGTCCTCCAGTCGAAGCTCGGGTTCCGGGCTTGAGGTTTGGGCTTTGGGTTTGTGTAAGGCTTTTTTTGCTCGGGCAGGGTTACGCACCCAGATTTACGCCCCACCTCTACCCACATCGCATCTCGTTCAGGGCTCCAAGACATTCAGACCCATGGTTGGGAAGAGCTGCTAGTGCAAGGCAAGTACAAGGGGCCACGCTGGATCAGGGACTAAGAATTATAAGGGCGATAAATAGCGACCTGACCCTATATATTTGATATGCATACATGCATTTATGAATATGCATGCACACACACACACTTTTTTTATGTGTGTGTACAAGTATATGTATATACCATACGCAAATAACGGTATTCCTTCATACAGTCAACGAACAGGTTAAGTATAAGCCATTCACACGCGCAGCCGTGTTCTGCTCAGGCGATGCTTGGACGTGCCCTCGCTGTGCCGAGTATGGGGCTTGAAGCTACAAGGTACAACCATGGCTAGGAAACAATCTTGCAACTCCACTCCAACGCATGTCATGCCGCATTATAGCCAAATTGGCACCGATGGGGCATGAGAAGGCCAAGTGCCTTTCCATCTGTGGGTTGAGTCTCGATGAGTAATCCCAGAGATCCCACTGACATCACTTGCACCCAGTATTCTCATGCATGCACATATGACCCGTATCACCACTGGAGCTCCGCCTCAAATCTGCGAAGCGCTTCCTCAACCTCGTCGAAGTTGTGCGTACCATCCACAGGGGCAGACTTGAATTCCAGTCTGCTTCCACGGAAGACATATAATCGGAATGGCCACGGAGCAAACTTCTGCAAGAAGGCATCCTCGATGCCATCGACAGCCATGGGCCATGAGAGATCGCAGCTGCTCTGAAACTCCAAAGCTGTGCGTACCCGCTCTGCGGTGGTTTGTGGTTCCCATACCTCCGGGCCATCAATGGGCCACACATCTCTGGCATGGGCTTCACGGATGTAAACGCAAAGAAAACGAATTTGAGCCTTCCTACTTCGCCTGGAACGTAGGTCATTCAGCACATGGATGGCAGCACAAAATGGGGGTCAGGTCCATGATCCGGCGCATACGACCGTCAGATCTCCACACCAGTCCTTCAGCATGGAGGCCTGACCATCAAGGCCCACGAGGGGTACTTCTGGCAATGGTTGACCTGGTTGCAACTCCCCATCCTCCGCGAGATTTGCACGCGCATACACGGAGAGCTTGGAAAGCTCCGGTGCCGTCGTGTGCGCTGTCTGCATGCGCCTCACAGCAGACGCAATGCCGACTGCAGATCTGAAACCGCTTTCAATCGCCACTTCACGTTGCAAGTCACGCACCACATCGAGCCACTCTCCCCCCGACGCTGTGCATGCTCGCATGCGCTCAAGTGTCTCCGGGGCAAAACGGAGCTCCTCTTGGCGCTTCAGCATTTTCTCCAGCAACAAATCGTCCAGTTGAGGGTCTTCCACATGCTCTCAGGCCAGCGACTGTGTCGTACCAGACATTGCCTTGGACATCCACAACCCTGCCTCTTTCCCAATCTTCTCACTCCTGTCCTGGACCATCCCCAAGCGCCGAAGAAGACTTTCCACGCGACTAGTTTCCAAAAAGCCGACTAAGTCTTCCTTGGAGGCAAACTCACGACCATGATAGCTCTGACGGCTGCCGGAACCTGCAAACCACCAGGTCTGTCCATCCTCGAAAACGATTTTGTCCGGCAGCACTTCGAAGCCCTGACGACCGGAGATTGCATCATACATACCACCACGAAGATCAGGAATCAGGTGCAAAACATGGAGGTGTGTGATGCTGTAGTCTGACACTGTCTTGTCGTCCTCCAGCTGCTTCCCAGCGAAGACCAGCCGCTGTTGGCTACGAGGGATACCCTCCTTCATCCAAATCCTTGCTTTCACCTCACCGATCGTGGTCCCAGCTTCCATGCCCACAAAGAGTGTCTTGCCCGTCATCGTCTTCACGCTGATGGATCTTTCGAGGCTCTTGAGGTCAAAGTCGAGCTTTGAGTTTCCTGAGATGTCGAGAGATGACAGCGTGGCCTCTCGGGGCAAGATCTGACCGTCCCTTGTGACGACCAGGGATCCTGCACTGCATCCGCAGTCGAGCGCCAGTTGCTCGGTGAGGAATGCGACTGTGTCAAACGCTGTAACATCCACCTGACAAGAGCCGACCTTTACCGAGAAGACCTCTGCAAGGTCTTTCGCTGTCTGAAGCAGGTTCTGCTGCTGAAGCTGGATCGCCTCGACTTGCTGGATCATCTTCAGCAGTGACTGCTCCTTGATGTGGAACGGCTTGTTCTCGAATGAGCATCGGAGCGCCTGAATGTCTATAGACATGGCTGGAGCGGCTGGCAGCAGAAATGCTGGGATCTTTGGGTAGCGAGGCCACACAGGGTCTAGCCAAGCTGGGAGGCAAGGACCGAAACTGCTGAGGGCAATGACCTCCGATGCCATCGGAGTGTTTTGAGACATGTATCTCCGGCAGCATCGGACAAGCACACGACAACACACAATGGTGGCCCAGTGCGGACTACATATGCCTTGCCGCCAATTGTAAACCTCCCCAACCCGATCTGCCTTCGCAGCTGCTGCCTCCTTGTGGATGGCAGCGGCAGTGATGCGCCAGCGGTCGTAGGCCTTCGAGGATTTAACCTGGAAGCCTGCTGCCTTTGCACAAAACCGGCCGCTTATCCAAAAAATGCTGGCTCCTTTTTGGGCACCCTAATTGAGGACGCCATTTAAGGAGCCAAGGGCCAACTCAAGAAGGTTCGGGGAGTTGGGAGTTTAGGCGGTTGACGGTTCGGCTGGATGAACACTCGGGTGGAACCACCCTGAGCAGTAAAGATGCACTCAGACTGCTCTACGCTACCCACAGCCCACCTATAAAGGGCATGTACATGCGGCATTCCTCTCGCCCTATAAACAATGTAAACGTGCAGCTACGATTATATTAGCTTTCGATGGTGCAAGTACATGGTGTGGGTGCTGTTATGTGGGTGTAGTGCCCAACCGTGCCTGAGCTCACCTCATCCATTCGGCACCTTAAATACCCACCGACGCCCTGAGTAATTATTGGCCTCCCTGCTACAAAGGTTGAATGTTTACTTGGTTTTGGCCATGTAGTTTCCGTCTATCGAGGAGAGCAGTGCCGTAGGGCAGATACCGCAATCACCTATACGACACTACCTCAGGCAAGAACATCGAAGACACCGACCTTTTCAACTCCACACCTTACAAGCCCTGAACATTGAAGCCATCGCACCCGTGCGCCTCCCGCGCAGCAAGGCTGGCCTGTTCGTTGCGCTTGGACGAGAAAGATTCGAGCTTGTAGGAATCATCAGGTTCAGGGCTTAGGTCGAGTGCAGACTTGAGCTTTTAATTTACAGGGTTTGTAAGGGTTTGTAGGCTTCATCAAAAGGTAGACTTCAGAGTTTAGCTTAGTGTATCTTATCGCGTGCAGGGCCCGAATCACTGCAGGAGGTGTTGAAGTTGAAGGATGGGCGTTGGGCATCTTGCTTGGGCTGTTAGCGTTTAAGAGTCTACATGGGCATGTAGGGCGTGAGGGTTTAGGGCTTAAAGGGTGTATATAGCGCTTCGAACCGACTGCTTAGGGTTGCTGGAACCTTGGCGGCAATTTGTGGAGACGAGGTCGTAACTGAAGTTCCCTTTTTCTTCAGGAGGATGATAAAAGGAACCCAACATTTGCTTAACCCGTATAAACCCTAAGGCCTAAACCCTTGTCCAAGTGCCGCTGCGGATCTGAAGATACTTGGAGAGTTCTGAACTGAGGCGAGGCTTTGGCACCAGAACTCAACGTGCCATGAGTGCGTCTGATAAATCCCGGCTTTGCCGAACCCCTTCAATGCTCAACCCCTTGCGGATATCAGAGCTTCCAAATATAGTAGGGCTGAGGGCAGTCCCACTGTCTGGGTCAGCATGTCCGAAGTCCAATCCTCTGGCTGAGTTCCTAAAGAAAATAAGCCCCAACACCTAAGCTTCAAAACCCAGATCCCTGAAACCCTAACAGAGACATACAAGCCCTGGACCTGAAGGCCGAGCCTCAACTGGGAGCTCCTTGGGGAGGTGGTGTCGAGCCGCCACTCGCGGCGTCCTTGAAGCGCAGAGCTTCGACAGGTTTCCTTAAGGACCTTCCTCTGAGGGCTTCTCGGAGCAAGGTCTCTGGACGCCTTTGGGGCGCCTGATATTTCATAGCACCCTTGGAATTAAACCTTTAGGGCACCCTCGACTCGAGATAGTCGAAACTCTAAGGTTTGAGGGTTCGGGGTTTGGCAGTGCGGCACAAAAAGCCTGGGAATTGAAGGTTCGGGTGAACACCCGGAACTGGCAGTTCATGGCCACCTATGGGCCCGAGATGGGATCATGACTTTTAGGCTCCTTGGCATTGCGACCTTTGGGTTAAGGGCTTTGGCTTTAGCGGTTTAAGGTTTCGTGACGAGGTCGTCACCGCAGACCCCAAGGAGGAGCTCAACATCATTGGATCGAGGGATATGGGTGTTCTTTTCAACACCGTCCACCCCAAGACTACTTCAAGACGTATATATTTGTGTTAAGCCCATCGATGCCCTGCCCCTGAAGCACCGTCTGGCAGAGGATAGTTGAGTGTTTGGGGTTTATAGGTTACACCCTCCCAGCATGATCAGAGCGTCTGAAGGCGGTCGGTGAGCAGTGGGCAGGGCCGTGTTCGCTGACTCCAGGACGCCTGGCGGATACACAGCTGGCAAGGTGTGCCCCTAAAGTGGGCACTGCAGGCGGGTCAACTCTCCGCGCTGAAACGTGCTGATTCGGGGACGGCTTCTGTCCGGAGCAATGCTGGCCCGATCAGGAGAACTACTACAACTGCAAACTCAGTGAACTGTACACTTCTGGAGCACGTTTTCCGGAAACACGTCACATATCCAAATCCTCACGGAGAACTTCCAGGCGCGTGTGCAATGCTTGTGTGCGCGTGTCTTTTGGATGTGAGTTTTCGTTTCAAATCAGAAGTCCCGAAACCGCTTCGTAGGCTTCGTGTAGGTGCAAAGAAAATTAGTCTTTTTCTTTTGAACCGAGGACGCCAGTGCACTGCGGCACCTCGAGTGGACGTCAGTGTTGTCAGTTCTCAAAATTATGGTCCTTTTTTGGGGTGCCCTACATAATAGGGGCCACCTTCTCATAACGAACCCAACAAGGGCATGTTTTCGTAGAGAAGTGAACCTAGCCCCACTTGAAGTTCCATCTGGCGGGGACTCCCCAAAACTATGCGCAACCCCCCCCCCCCCCCCGCCCAACCCCGAACCCCAACCTCCACGGTATTCGGGCGCGTCGCAGGCAGCCCCACGAAACGGCGCCGCTTCCTGGTCTGTCATCTACAAGCACTGGTGGCCGATTTTGAGGCTCATGGGTTCAGGTGGCCAATTAGCGTGAATGGTGTGCCTCCGCAGCAGTGAACCTACTATAACCAAGGCCCCTTACGGGGCTTCTAAGGGTATAAGTGCCCCCACTGTGTCAGGCACATAGTAGCTTTCATGGGACCTATACGCATCAAGCCCCAAATGCTATACCTGGGTGCCGCCATGCATCTGATGGCTGTGGGGCCGTGGCATTCTGAACGCATGATGTTCACGCGCGGAAAAGAGGGAAGCTGCTTATCTCCGATCAACACGCTGGTAGGGGGAGCTACGAGCTTCGGACATCGAGATACTTCGGCCGAGGCCCTGTTGAACCCCGAAATGGGTTTAGGGGCAGTTGCACTCTCGGGATCAAGGTGGGTTTCAACAAGAGATTTAGGTACCCAAAGAAGTAGCCACCCAAAACAATGCATGTCGTTGCCTTCACCGAGCCAAGACAATCCGACAGCCTTTCGTTCACAGCTTAGATGCTTCCGGCCCAATCAACAAGTGTTAAGGCTTTGTCTGCCTAGTTTAGGAGTCCCTAAAAGCTGGATATTCAGCTTCTGGCTACAGAAGTAAGCAAGACATGGAGTGTCAGAATATCTGTCATCCTTTTGTGGGATGCCTCTCCCTTTCAAAAATCTGCTTGTAGTTTTGCCGTAACCAACGACTCAAGGGAGTCGAAAGACGTTTCATGGGATCTGAAGCCAAAGTAGTGAAGGCCCTTAACCCCAGACCCTCCAGTGACGGCCCTGAACCCCAGACCCTCAACCTAACGCCACTAACTCTAAGTCCCTAGACTGGAACTTGAGATTGCAACCAAAGCTCGGGTTTAGGGCAACGGGAGTTAGGGGCCACAGCTTACCAGAAGGTCCTTTCCGACCCAACTCCCGCTCAGAATGCGGGAATTCAGGTTTGGCTTGTAGGCTCTGGATGAGAAAGACCATGAATCAGGCTGAGAGCTAGGATTGTTTAAGGTTGGTATACACGTCCCTTCAGAATTCAAAGAGGCAACTGAACGCGATCCGGGATCTACGTAAGGACAGGACAGCACTTGCAGTCCGCGCACTCTTTTTCATCAAGGAACCGGGGGCGGCGTACCTGATGTGCATGGGAGATGATTAGCAATCGCTGCATTGACACCTATTCAGCAGCAGGTTGTACAGTTCAAATATCACACCCCAAACCATGAACCTCGTGACCACGAGTAAGTTCTTGCTACGTCCAGACCCAGGACCTCATCACAATTCCTCTTGTAGCAGGTACCCCAGTAACCACGCCTTCGTTAGGGCACCCTTGTTTCTGCTAGTTTAGCTTCAAGAGCCCAGATACACAAAAGCGCCCACAGGGCTTCTTCCGACTGGTTGCGCTACTTTTGATATAAAAAAAAGGTTCGAAACAACCCCAACCCACACCCCCAACCCCTTTTCACTGCAAGGCTCACCTGGACGACCCAGAGCCCAAACCCTAAGATACCGATCTTGGAATCGCAAGTTTTTGGAGAGCGTGTGCGTGTTGGACATGCGCGCGCTGACTTCTGCCCGCAAAACCAAGAGAAATACAAGGTCAAGCTATGCTACTCCTACGGCATGTAACAACGGACACCCACCCACGTCTCCTGTAGTCTGAACTGCCCCATGCTTTCAATCCAGAAGTCAGACCCAGACGAACCAGCTACTCACGCTTGAAACTGCAAGCCATGCATTTTGAGGCCATGTTCCGAGCAACTCCCAATGACAATGCTGGCAACTCGCCCAGAGCCTAAACCCGAGAAGCGCCTGGCACCAGGAAGCTGCCATAGCCCCTCAGGCGCTGCGCACGTGGATGGGCCTTGGTGTTGTGTTGCATTGCACGCATGAGGACTGGAGGGACAGAGGGTTCATGCGGTATGTTGCTCCGTCCATCCTTGTGCGCGCGCACGCGAGCGGGTGTGTGGGTGTGTGGGTG